CTACACTTCCTCTCTGCCTCCCCAGTGTCAATGGAATGATTCTGTGCCAGCTCCCATCCAGCTATGTGGCTTCTTTTCTTCTTTTCTGCCAACAACCCCTATTTCCTGACATGCAGCCTTGAGTGCTTCTCAGCCTCCCTCTCCACCAAGACAGTCTCCTCTCCTCCTCCTCAGGGTACCTGCATCCCAGAGCCTGTGTCGAACTTTTAACCCACAGGAATCAGCTATGTCTCCTCTGCTGTGCCACTGTCCCCATAAGGGTCTGCATGGCTGGGTGCTTGCTCTGTGGATATGGGGGGTTGAGGGGAGACCTGGCCCAGGACCAGCCTGCTATGTGGCATCTGATGAGCCTTTAACCTACAGAAGTTCCAATTTTCCAACTAAATATTGGGACAAACCAAGAAAAACATTTGTAGGAGTTTCTTAAATGCCATGAGCTAAAAGCTCAATGAGAAAACTGATATCTCAGGGACCTGTAACCCTGTGCTGTCTGAAAATAAAACTTTAAACTTTGAGAAATGAAAGTAGGGATGCTGTCTTGGGTCTTCGAACAATCTTCCCTTCTGGGGGGACCTGGCTGTGGGAGTACTACGGTGTGAAGTGGGTGGAGCAGGTGTGGAAGGACCAGAACCCCTGTACTGTCCCAGTAGGGGTGGCAGGACTGGATTTTTCAGAAGTCCTGCTGAGAGGAGAGAAGCAGAGACCGAGCACAGCAGGGTGGAGTCTGCCTGAGTCCCACATTCCAGGTAGCAAATAAATACCTAAGGGAATCCCTGCCCGAAAGTTTTTAAGAATAGGAGTGTCAGTGTTTCCTATGACTGTGCTTCTGCTGCCCCTTCTCAAGCCCACTTTTTTTAGATATTTTATTTTATATAATTCTTACATCATTTTTCATTTTTGCACAGTGTATGCATTTTCATTTTGGTTATATTCCCCATACAATTGCACCCCCCCCTTATTTTGACCCTAGTCATTCCTCTACCCGCCCCTCCAGGCCCCTCCCCCAGTAGTGTGTCTCTGGTTTATGGTTGCTTGTTGATTTTGATTTTTACTTTGTATTAATTAGTCTTTTTCTTGGTCCCTTATTTAGGTTGTCTAAATTCCTGCTATGAGTGAGACCATCTGGTATTTTTCTTTTTCTTTCTGACTTATTTCACTGAGCATGATCCCTTCTAGCTCCATCCATGTTGCTGCAAACTGCATGTGTTTACCTTTTTTGATTGCTGAGTAATATTCCATTTTGTATATGTACCACATCTTCTTGATCCGGTCATCTATTTTTGGGCATTTGGGTTGTTTCCAAAGCTTAGCTATTGTAAATAGTGCTGCTATAAACATAGGGGCGCAGGTGCCCTTTGGAATTAATGTTTCTGTGTCATTTGGATAAATACTAGAAGTGGAACTGCTGGATCATATGGAAGCTCTATCTTTAGTAGGTACCCAAGCCCCTTTGATCACACCCGTCCAGGGCTTGCTCCTTCTCTGTGTGCTCATGTGTGTATAGTTAGGGCAGTTATGAACTTCTCATTTTAATGAAATCATTAGAAAGGACAGAGGTTCAATGTTGGAAAAGGTGACCTTGGAGACAGCCATGATGTTCAGGTGATCCCAACCTGACCTAATTCATCAGTGACATCAAACTAAAGCCACATGAAGCCTGAAAGTGATTCTTCTCTTCTGCAGGACTTAGTGTGTTCAGACTGGAAATAATATTCAGGTTGCCATGAGCTGTGGTAACCAACTCTTAGAAAATACTGCCATATTGGAGGAACTAAGTGTCTAGAGAGATAAATCTATATGCTTTAGGCTGACAAATACATTATATGTGCCCACTTTGTTAAACCATCAATATTTTGCAAGCACTCAACTTTTCCTCTGTGAATCTAAGAAAGTCTCCAGCAGCCTCAGCTAGAAGTCCTAAATCACTAACTCCATCTTGTGCTGGGTGTGTGACTATTTAGGAGCATCCAGAGCACCCTGACTGCATCCGCATCTGTGGAATCTGAGTTGTCTCAGCTTGTGCTTGAGCCTCACCCATCTACCTTAGAAAAGTCTTGGGTGGCTGTGGAGGGTCTGGGGCTGCTCCCCACCTGGCCCCTGACTCCCAGGCTGTGCAGATCCACCCTCCTGTCTCTCTGACCTTAGGGGACACAATGCTGATGACATGACTGGGCTTGAAAGCTTGTGTCATATTCCTTTGCCTCACAGGCTCAAGGCTAGCTTGCCCAGGATGGATGTGAATGAGCTGTCATCATCTCCTTAGCATCCCATTCACCTCACGGCTTCCAAATAACATTTCCATGGCTGAGGTCATCCTTAGGGAGCTCCCGTGCAGAAGGGATCAGTGAGGCGTGTGTCCTCCCTGTGCTGGGAGGTCAGCCCCGCCTCATCTGCGTGACTTTGGCTCGGGGTGTTAGTATGGGGCGTGTTAGGACCTGGATTCCTGGGCCCACACTGCAGGCCTCCCAGCTCCCAGCTCCTGCTCCAAGAGGATGAAGCTGAGATGCCTTCTGGTCCAGGCCTCTACCCTACAACAGGACCACACCCAACTGTCATGGACCTGGCTGGGCCAGCTGGTGACTCAGCGCCATTCTGTATCCTGAAGCCGAATATAATCCTGGCTCTCAGACCTCAGCCGACATGCTGCCAGGTCAATGTAAAGGTTCCCTGGTTGTCTGTGGCCTGGTGACATCTGTGGCAATCTGGGCATTGGATGGGAACAGCCACCTGCCCCAGTCTTGGGTTTTGCCCCCACGCAAGGCATGGTCTCCTGCCACCCACTCATGGGGAGGTTTAGGGCTCTCCAAGACCTACTGGCAGGGTGTTCCCTCTGTGCCCCGCTCCACTTTCCTCATATCTGTGGTTGCTTTCAAATTTCTTCTTTCCCTTAGAATCTTCCCCATTCTAGAAGTTTCAACTGTTTGTTCCTTTCTCGCTAACCTCCTGCTCTCAGGGACCCCCTGTCTTGAGTCCATGATTCTTCTGTTGCTGGGGTGACAGATCCTTCTTACAGCAGCTCCACCTGCTAGCAAGCTGCGCCCCTTTATTCCACCCCAGTCAGTGCAACACAGACCAGCCATCAGACTCCCACACAGCCAGAGTTTCTGTACAAGCAGCCATGTCCCTGTGTCCTGAGGGACCCCAGGAATTGGGTGCCTCCTCCTGACCACTGGGGTCCTGCTGGGGAGAGGAGGGCAGGGCACGAGCAGCACCTGGACATCCCTCTGTAGAGTGGCTTCTCTTTTTGTTGGACTAAACTTATTGTTGAACTTATTATCTGGTTTCTTGAGTTCTCTTAATATTGATAGGCCTATATATTCTTTATTAATTACCCATTGGGTTATTGGGTTCTGCAATTTCTTTATCTATCAACTACTGATGTCATTCTTGCAAGTGTCATTGCCATGCATCAATTATTTCATTATTATATTTTTATCTCATTGGCTACTAATAGAACAAATTGTAGTTAGGGCATATAAATTTGAAACTTGCAAACAAAGGTGGGCAGGCAAGCGTGCACTGAGCAAGGCTGCTGGAGTGCGCACTCCCCCCTTTTAGAACTGAGTAGAGAGAGGGAGGGCTTGGACCACAAGGTGAACTGTAGACACCAGGAAAGTGCGGCCCCTGTGCCATTGTCAGAAGACAGAGACCACACAATTCCCTTCTGGAACTGAGAAGAAAGTGCACTGAGCAAGGTTGCTGGAGGCCCTGTGTCCCCTTTTCGGAACTGAGTAGAAGGAGGGAAGACTCCACCAACAAGGTGAACTGTGGGTCCCAGGAAAGTGCAGGCCTGTCTGTGGGACTTTCAGAAGCCAGGGACTCCATTATCCCCTTCTGGAACTGAGTAAACACAAAGGGAGAGGATCTTTAAGGACAGCAGCCATCAACATATGCCCAGCATCACTACTTTTGTGGAGTCTGCCGTAACAGTGCTGACTCAATCTGGCCACCAGTTCCCGACATCCCAGAAGGAGCACCCCAAGGAGATTGCTTGCCAGTGGCCCAGTCCATAGAACAAATTATAAAACAAACAACAGGGAGAAGGAAAAATATAAATAACCGAGCAAGCCCTAGGGGAAGGACACACCACAAAAAGAAAATCAGCCACTAGAACTCAACAAAAATGACATGGAAGAACTTCTCTGCTTGCCAGATAGAGATTTTAAAATTGTCATGATTAAAAACCATAAAGAAGACAAAAAGGAAAAAGAATGATATGAGAAATATAATTAAAGAACTGACAGGTGAAATTGAGTCCTTAAAGAAGGAAATGAAGGAAACACAGGTGATTAAAAGATTAATGGAGAAGCTAAAGAACTCTACCTCCTGCGCTCCTGGGATAAATCCCACATGGTCGTGGTATTTTATCCTTTTGATGCAGTGTTGGATTCTGTTGGCAAGGATTTTATTGAGGATTTTTGCATCAGTGTTCATTAGGGAGATTGGCCTATAGTTTTCTTTGT